TATCTTTTGTTGCTCGTCTGGTCATATATTGTTTTTATTTTGTTACATTTGAAACTCTTGGGGAAGGTGTAGTGTGTAAATTGTGAAAAAAATACGAAATATACATAAAACACATTCAATTAACTTCCATCTAGTAATCTAAACACATTCACAAATTACAAAAAAAAACCACATTATAAACCAAACATACAATAAACCAGACACACACATTCACCAAACAATACACCACACAACGTTTCACATAACCCGTCCAGTATATACATAAATAAATAAATAAATAAATAAATAAATAAATAAATAAATATAAATCAAGAGCCGTAGTTCTCAAAGGTTTCATATTAAAAGAACAATGTACCAAAGAGTATCCAATTTATTTAAGACAGAGAGACAAACAGACATGTATTAAAATCCTCAAAAAGAAAAGAAGTTTGGTAATAAAAAATGGGAAATTCACTACATCTCGTAACATCAAAGAAAACGGGACTTAGTTGGTGTTTGTGTGTCTGAGTGAAGGTGTGTTCCAGTGTTTCCTTCTTATATCGATATTGTTCATTAATTTACACCAAATACTGACGATTGTGGCTATTGTTCGAGTGTACAAAGTTCTCCTGTGTGTTTGGGAAGCAGTGACGTAGTGTTTTAATGTAGTTCATAGTGAAAATTATGATAGCATTAGGAAGGACTGTACCAAGACACACGTATGTCCCTTTAGCATGATAATACTCGTCACCCTTAAAGTCTCTTACCAAATGGACGAAATTAACACCCACTTGATCACCAAACCAACCCTTAATGGAGGTTTGACAGTCGTAAACTACCCAACTGGTGCTGCTTATCTTATCATCGTTGCAACTAAGGACTTCCGGCCATAGTAAGTATTAACGTATATACGATAAGGGATTCTAGTGTAAAATTTCTTCAGTATTATCTAGTTTATGTTAATGCATCCTTAGTTACATACAAAGTCATTTTTATTACTGCTATTGTTATTTTGTTTTGATAATTTTAACACCTGTGCTAGTTACTGTCAGAATAACCAAGTACAGTATACTAGAGAAGTTAAGTGTTCTGAATTCTTGTAGATCTATCGGACAGAACTAACGTGAACAGGAATTGTCTAGATTGTTGTTTGTAAAGGAGCGTATGTATAGCAGTTTAATATATGGGGGTTGTATAGTATAGTATTTTATGTTTGTATTACATTGTGTTGTCAAAAACGTTATTCTAGTGTTGCGGTGTGGTAGCGTATTGTGTTGTGGTTTTCAGTTGTGTTTTTATTCCATTTTTCATTTGTATCTTGGTTGTATAAAATTACTTTGTGTTGCATTGTATATTGTTGCCTTGTATCGATGTTTTATATACTAAATATTATTATGGCTCTGGGGATAACTTGTTGTTTGGGGGAACCTAATGGCGTGTGTTAGGTGATGGTGCGTATTGAACTTAGGCAACGCCAACTCGCCAATAATATTCGCGATACAGCCGCCAAATTAAATGAGGGAGGGAGGTAATGTAATTATTTTTATCATGTTCTGACTTGTGTATAACTAAAGAGAATTGTTTACTCTTGTCAAGTGTTTAAATGATACTACTACTACTACTACTACTACTACTACTACTACTACTACTTTTTTTTTTTTTTTTATAACGTGGCCTCCAGCCTCCCCCAATAGCCACACCTTCGCCACCATTTATTTACCTTAATATTAACTATCCTAATACATAAGCAACTATCCTATCTGTGTTAAATTAGTTGAGCCGCAGATCGATGCGGCATTCGGTGACTGTAGCCTCATAGTCGATATCTGCAGCAGTTGACGGAGTAGGGGCAGAAGCTCTCGTTCCCCTGAGGCAGAGCAAAGCCGACCGAAGGAGAGAGAAGGACAGTCGACATCTCATCCAGGCTGTGACATAACTTCTGGGCTGCTGCTTCTGTTCGGAGATCAGCTCCGCGAGTCTGGCGTAGAAACATCTTGCGCTTGGGCCCATCCCACCAGAGGTTGTGAACACTAGCGGAGTGAAGCTGCCTTGATCGACATTTTGAATTCTCTCCCCATATGCCCTTCTCTTGTCGTTCTCGTTCCTCCTATGTGCAGCATCGAGAGCTAGGTTACGGTGACAAACGGCCATGGGATCAAAAATCCTGATGTCGAAGAAGGCTCGCTGTCCCCGCGTCCAGAATCCTCGAGCACTGACGTCCACACGGGCTTCGTTAGATGTGTTTGAAGTCCTGTGTTGGAGGATCTCGCCATCCAGTGGAAGGAGGGTCGGTTCTACCATGACGTCCCGGCAGGTTTCCTTCAACATATTTGCTGTGAGATCCCTTACCTCGTCATGCCTCATGCATATGAAGCCCCCCTTCTTGCAAACCATGGCGTGATCGCCATCATAGGAATAGCCACACACGCATTGGGAGGGCAAACCATCTACTGGCCAACCGTACCTTAGAGCAATGGCATCTGTAAATTCTTGTTTCTACTACTACTACTACTACTACTACTACTACTACTACTACTACTACTACTACTACTACTACTACTCGTTGCTGATTCTCTCGTTACACATCCTGTTGTCATAGTTATTGTTTATAAATATGTGTGTGTGTGTTATCTGATAAGGGGAATGGTTGGTAGATTAAGCATTGTTATCGAGTCTCTCTCCACACACACACACACACACACAATACCACAATTCAACAGTCCATCACAGCGCCATAAAGGACGTGCTGAGAGCCGGACTATGGTCATTCACCCCTCCCTCCCTCCCTCAACCCTGACAGACTCGCCTTTACCTCTTCGTGTCTGCTGTCAGATGACCCTCTTAAAACTGTCTCCTCACGACCATCCTGCCTCTAGTGAATTGAATTTTGATGTGAGTTTTATCGCCTCATCATCTTCCTTCATAGGTTCCTCCTCCTTCTGCCACTCCTTCTGATGGACTGTTGGTTTCTTCTTCCTTTCTTCTCTTGTTCGTCTTGTGGAGGAGGAGGAGGAGGCCTTCGTCAGGTAGGTGTTGGTTGTTACATCATCTCTTGTCGTGGCTTCCTCCATTCTTTGTGATGGACGAGTAGGTTTAGGGGGGAGGGGGGGATTTTTGCTTCGTCACCCAAACATAAATTAATATTCAATCATCTTGTAATTGATAAGTATTTTACTATTATTTTCAACCTTCATATCTCAGTATATAATATGTTCATCTGTATAATAAAGCGTTAATGATTTCTTGTCAGTATATCAGTATGTTTTCATGTTCACTCTGCCAGTACCACCTGTTGTGTTGTTCAGTTCAAAAGCCTCTCGTATTAAATATTAACTGTAGGATGGAATTGAAACGTGGCTCTAATAACTAACCAATATACGATGATTTTTGTCGTGTCTGAATGCTGGTTTACTATCCACACACAGATACGCTCATGATTTGCGTTCACTGAGCATATTTAATGAGACATGTAGGTGTATGTACGTATTTACACACATACACGTTCACATACAACGCTTGTAGGTGTATGTACGTATTCACCCACAGACACACACACACAGACACATACACGTTCACACAGCGCTTCGGCAGTCCACCACTCACTACTGTTGCTGAAGATTTGTGTGTCGATAATTGCTTTTCAATCTACACTTTTATTCATCGGATTCATCAGAGTTCACATTAAGCAATAATTACTGGCGATAAATTAGGTGATTGTTGCAGGTAGTTCAGGCCGGGTAAGAGAGAGAGAGAGAGAGAGAGAGAGAGAGAGAGAGAGAGAGAGAATTTGATTAGTTTGTGTCGTTTTTATTCTCTCTTGGTATTGAGAGATCTGGGGTGTGTGTGTGTGTGTGTGTGTGTGTGTGTGTGTGTGTGTGTGTGTGTGTGTGTGTGTGATTTTGTTTTAATATGGTATTTAACTCCGTCCCACAAATAAAAAATACCTTGTAGAAACACCCAGAACAACACGCGTGAACAAGTGTATTTTAGTAAGTGTAAATGGAGCTCATAAAATACTGGCGACCATTTATACAGTATATTGAAATCCCTGGGTCGTGGTGGTTGTCGGTTAAGTATCTAGCCAATGAGCGTTGAGGAGCTACTTAAATTTCATTATTTAAGCCAATCAGCAGTGTGTAACAAGACGAACTATCATAACTCTTATATTGTGTAATTGTTTTTATTATACAGAAATGTGGTTACAATTGAACAGTATGGAAGAGAGAGAGTTTCAGTGATAGCCGTGCTAGGTCTCTTGTTTATCGAAGTTACTGCTCAATGTGTTGTTATCCGTTTTCTCTTTCTTCTTTTTCTAGTAGTAAAGAAAATATATCTTAGGGATAACTAAAGGAAATGAACATAGATATTTTTCCGTGATTGTCTATTAATTTTACCTAATGGCCACCCAAACTAGAGGTGGCCATGCCCAGGGAAGGAGGCCAGGTGTCCGGGTAGAATCCTTTTGTTGTTCTTGATGTTCTTGTCTCTGGCTCTTTAAGAAGGCCAACACTGTTCTTGGTTCCTTTGTTTTGGCTGGAAGGAATGAGCTCAAAATTAGGATGGTGAAAAAATGATTAGGTGAATGGTTTAATGTTTCATGAGGTTTCTTCCTTTTGGCTATTCCTCTAAATTACTCAGTTTCCGTTACTTGTGCGGTCAAGTCTCTGTTACGCACTGTTGGCAAGTACTGGGCATGCACCGGTCAAGTCTGGTCTTAAATGAACTCACACTCGGTGCCGTCACAACACTCTCTGGCAGACTGTTCTAAAAGTTCACAACTCCGAAACAGTTTGCCCTGACAGTTTTCTGAACTAAGTCATCCCTTGCCCGCCTGTAGTATAAGCTTGTCAACTGCAGGCATTTTAATCTCTCTGGTAGACATATTCAATCAACTGAAAGTCTCAAGCATATCTCGGGGACCAGACGGGGTGACAGTACTCCAGACGGGGAAGCACCTCACCCGTTAGCAGTAACAATATGAGAAGTTCACCTGAATCGTTATGTAAATCAATACACCTTTGTCACATATTATGTTTTTATTTTTTATTACAAACAGTTTGACTGAAGTACAAACAATGCCGAGGGTTAAACACGAGTGTTGTTCACGGGGACAGTTGTTATGGCACTCACTTAACATACTTTAAGACACTATTAACACACTTTAGGACACTATTAACACTTCAAGGCACTATTAACACACTTTAGGACACTATTAACACACTTTAGGACACTATTAACACACTTCAAGACTCTATTAACACATTTTAAGACAATATTAACACACTTTAGGACACTATTAACACACTTTAGGACACTATTAACACACTAGAACACCACACTATCAACACACGTAAAAACCATAGTGTCGTGTAGTGTTCATTCCCTTTCATTCTGTAGACTATTAAGTGAGTACACGACAACAGTACCTCCTCTAACACACTCATATATAACTACGGTTAATATAAAAGACAAAATATCAGTTTCAGGAAGCAGCGTTGTCTTTGTAGTTACGTATGTTAGTAAATCACATGTTATTTTCGACTTGTTTACATTTATCGTTTTCTACAAGTATAAAATTCCACCTCACTCGATAAATATCACATATTTCGTAAACAGTAGGTAGTTTGTGGTTGAAGAGGAGCATACACTAGGTAGTATTATGGTTCAAGAGGAGCTTATAGACAGGTTAGGATCGTGACAATAGTGGCGCGTGGATTTTGTAAACATTGACTTGTGGTTCCCGCCAAAATAGGGACAGTAAACAAAAAGAACTTACTTTATCTGTCGCTCTGTTATGACGGTATTGCGACAGATGTTCCATATAATGTGCCAGGTCTTGTCGTGATAGTCTTGAATGTATTTTATTATTTCTTTCACTAAATAAATATTAAGAGAGCGTAACTTACAATATTTACAAGATTTTATTTTTATTTTACCAAACCTGACGGCGTAACACTTGCAGTTCTATAGCGTTATTATTTGTATCAAGCGAGTCTCTAGTCTTTGTATTGCGTTCGTGTATAAGAAGTCCAGCTAAGACTTACTTACTGTGTCAGAACTCACTCATTTGCATTAGTGTTTTTATTGTCTTTTTTTGGTTTTGTCTTTCACTACACACACTTAAGACAGTCTATATCTCTTTAATATCCTCGCGTTCACATTTACGTGTTTGTGAAATATTTACGATACACACTAGCGTTTTGTAAATATAAAAACCCTAAATCATAGAATAAAACTCATTATTTATTTTCTTATCAGTTAATTGTGTATTATTTCGTAGTTATGACATATATATTAGACAACACAACGGGAGGACACACAGTACACGGGAAGCAACTGATGACTGAGGGAGGGAGGAAGGAACACGCGGGATGAGGCTACGACCACCACAGCGTTTGTTTACACTGAGGACAGAACAGGATTTTTTTTTAATAACATGATACATCTCCACACAGGGGGATTTCACCAAGCTTTCGTGCGGACTAATACACTCAAGTCAGTACACAGGTGACACTGACAGTATGAACAACACACACACACACACACACACACACAAACACACACACACAAACACACACACACACACACACACACAGTTTGGCATTGATTCCTACCACTTTACTACTAGTTGGTGAATGTCTTAACAAATAATCAAGTTTGAACACAAGTACACACAATATACAATGCTTTTATGCCTCCTTACACGAAAGGCATTATTCACATACACTAAAGTATTACCAGAAAGATTCATTATACATCCCAATATGTCTTTGTGCCGGAGCCTATAGTGATCGAGGGCAGCTGTAGGTAGTGTTTAGTTATACATTATCACACAAGATCATGAATAAACCTTAGATAAAATATGATGTTCCTTTGGTAGTTGTTGTAGGTGTTGTAGTGAGGTGTTGAGGCATGAGAGCAGCTGTCAGCCTTTATTTCTAGACCCTCCACCACCCAGCAGCTGTACCATCTCTCATAACACTACCCAACAGCTGTACCATCTCTCATAACACTACCCAACAGCTGTACCATCTCTCATAACACTACCCAGCAGCTGTACCATCTCTCATGACACTACCCAACAGCTGTACCATCTCTCATAACACCACCCAGCAGCTGTACCATCTCTCATAACACCACCCAACAGCTGTACCATCTCTCACAGTACCACCCAGCAGCTGTACCACCTCTCATAATACCACCCAGCAGCTGTACCACCTCTCACAGTACCACCCAGCAGCTGTACCACCTCTCATAATACCACCCAGCAGCTGTACCATCTCTCACAGTACCACCCAGCAGCTGTACCATCTCTCACAGCAGCACCCAGCAGCTGTACCATCTCACAGCAGCACCCAGCAGCTGAACCACCTCTCACAGCAGCACCCAGCAGCTGAACCACCTCTCACAGCACCACACTTACCATCTCCCTCAGGATACATCAGCCGAGCACGTCTCCCCGAAGCTATCCGGAATCACCATCGACAACTCCCGACAGCTAAACTCACTAGAGACTCCTGTAGGTAAAGAACGTATTCGTACAGTCATTATGGGCAGAACCAGTCTTGCTACCACACCACCTGGAGGCTGAAGGGGGATACTACACTCACTGTTTGTCTGTTCTTCGTATACGGTTAAGAACAAAGTCATACGGTGAGTTTGTGAGAGTTTCAGTCTTGTGAGTGTTGTGAGGCCTTATTTATGTTTTGACGTATAACATCTTACTCAGGTTCGTTACTTCACTGTTGTTGTTCCAGAAGGTCCAGGGAAGTAGTGTAGTTTGTCGTGACTCACTTCCAGGATCTGTTACTCATCTTTGTAGGAGTTTAGTGTCACGAGTGTCCCTCAACACAGACGAGGGCGTGAGGGAGGGTGGGTGTTGGTTCAGGGGGATGGTAGGCTGTGGGCTGCTCTGGTTCTCAACTGAGGAACCAACCAAAGCCGTCAACATTCCTGCTGGTGCCTCAAGAGTTGTGCCGTGGGGTGAGTGTGGTGCTCCAGGTCGCGTGATGCTGTTCAGGAGAGTCATAAACATTGAACGTGAAGCGTGTAGCGGGTCTAGAGCTGGACGAGGCCGCCGCGGGTCGGGTTCCTGGCGACGTAGATGTCCATATCGTGGTCGGTCCAGCCGTCAGTGTCGTACCCGGTGAGGGAGTGGGTGGACCCGGCGTGGCTCAGGCGGGAACTGGCACGCTCGCGGGATTTAGACCTCTGGCGTCGACGATCACTACGCTGGGACGTAGCCCTAGAGAACCCCCCCATGGTGGACCCCGGACCACTCATCACGGACCCCGGACCACCCATCACGGACCCCGGACCACCCATCACGGACCCCGGACCACCCATCCCGAAGGCGTTGGGGTTCACAGCCATAGGTCTGAACCCTGCGGCGCTGAACTGTGAGGCTGCCAGTGACTGCCTTGACATGCTGAGATCTGTAAGGAAGGAGAGAGAGATCACTTAAAGCTCTCATCCGCCTCCATGGATAGTGTAAACAAACTCCCACCACAAGTTCTCCCACAGCTTGAATATAGGAAAAGGCAGCAAGGCTTTTATTTACATTCAACCAAAACAAAAAGGCCAGTTAGGGCAAGCACAATTAATTTAAGAGAAAATGGGCTATTTAGCAGCGTGCAGGAGGTGGTGACCCAGGCCAGGGGGAGGAGAGAGAGTCGGAGGCAGTGTTCACCCTACACCAGTCACGTCCACCGGCCAGCGTCGAAGGTCCTGCCTTGGGGCGTCTCAAAACTCCTGATAGTTAGTTAGTTACTGTAGTTAGTTACTGTAGTTAGTTACTGTAGTTAGTTAGTTAATTAGCTGTACGTAGAGTGAACTTTTATACTACAATTGTTGACGTGTAAGGTCAAGCCTGAGGTGTAAGGTCAAGGCTGGGGTTTAAGGTCAAGGCTGAGGTGTAAGGTCAAGGCTGAGGTGTAAGGTCAAGGCTGAGGTGTAAGGTCAAGGCTGGGGTTTAAGGTCAAGGCTGAGGTGTAAAGTCAAGGCTGGGGTTTAAGGTCAAGGCTGAGGTGTAAGGTCAAGGCTGAGGTGTAAGGTCAAGGCTGAGGTAAGATCAAGGCATAAAGGTGGAGGGAGAATAGGTGGGTAGGTAGGTAGGGTGAGGGAGAAGAGGTGGGGTAGGTAGGTAGGGTGAGGGAGAAGAGAGGGTGTAGGTAGGGTGAGGGAGAAGAGGTGGGGTAGGTAGGTAGGTGGTAGGGTGAGGGAGAAGAGAGGGTGTAGGTAGGTAGGGTGAGGGGAGAAGAGGTGGGGTAGGTAGGTAGGTGAGGAGAAGAGAGGGTGTAGGTAGGTGAGGTGAGGAGAAGAGGTGGGGTAGGTAGGTAGGTGAGGGAGAAGAGGGTGGTGGGGGGGAGGGGTGGAGAGGTGGGGTGGTGGTAGGGTGAGGGAGAGGGTGGGAGAGGTGGGGTGAGGAGAAGAGGTGTAGTGGGTGGGGTGAGGGAGAAGAGGTGGGGTAGAAGGTAGGTGGGGTGGTAGGTAGGGTGAGGGAGAAGAGAGGGTGTAGGTAGGTAGGGTGAGGGAGGGAGGAGTCAGTCAGGGTGCCGTATGAGTCAGGACCGACGTACCTGAGGGTGACTATATACCACCACCTCGGGTCGCCGTCAGAGCTTGATGAGCCCCTGCTGACGAAGGTAGTAGATGTCGTTTCTTAAGAGGGCCTCCTGCCACAGGCTAGCCGAAGAGCCTATATGGTGGAGGGGACACGAGAACTACTGTCAGTGTCACTAACAACTTCTGCCTCTTGTTTACTTCTAGGGGTTGTTTGCTTTAAGGGTTTGTTTACTTTAAGGGCTGTTTACATCAAAGGGTTGTTTACGTCGAAGGTTTGTTTACGTCTAAGGGTTGTCTACTTCTAAGGATTTTTTTTTTACAATACCTCATTTTTGTTTCTAGGGTTATATAACTCACAAACATTCATCAACACTCTGGGGTTAAACAAAAGTAATAAACTCTTTAAATTATAAACTATAAACAATCTTAAGTGTAGACAATTTAACAACAGTGAAGGGCAGTGCGGTGCTGAGGGGGGTGGGGGCGTAACTACGAGAGGGAGGGTGAGGTGCTTAGGAGTGAGGGTAAGGAGGGAGTGAGTGATCATTGTAACTCACACACTACAGTAAGGTGAGGGGAGGAGCCCAGAAGTGACGTAGGGAGGGAGTGACCATTGTAACTCAGTAAGGAAGGGGAGAGAGGTGGTGAGGTACCCAGGAGTGAGGTCGGGAGGGAGTGAGTGACCATTGTAACTCACACACTACAGTAAGGTGAGGGGAGGTGAGATAAGCGCCTAGGAGTGACATAGATAAAGAGTGACCATCGTAACTCACTACAGGAATGGAGAGGAGAGTAACAGAGAATAAAACTACTCATAAAGGGGTTACCCAGAACACTCTAATGAACGTGAGAAAGAATATAAACAGAGAGAGAGAGAAAATAAGGGGATAAATGAAGGTACAATAGATAACAAGTGATAATGGAGGAGATAAGAAACTGGGGAAATGTAAAAAAAGGAAGGTTTATTTATTTATTTTATTTTTCATTTATTTATTTTTACTGAAGGAAATTAAGGTAGAAGAGATTGAAAAATACACCAAAATATACCACATAGAACAGGTACAGTATACACCAAGCATACACCAGGTAAGAGAGGTGAACAGTATGTCCTACAGGTAATCTATACAGCTCTCAGGTATTTATGTAACAGTAATACAGATTGAAAATTATATGCAGTGTAAAGATATATTATTTATCGTAGGAAAAACTTTAACACACACACACACACACACACACACACACACACACACACACACATACATATACATTACAACAGGAAGCTTAACCCCAGCTTGCATACACGAGATACAGAAATACAACAAGCTGTAGCGTGTAGAGGAACTTTTGTAGCCAAGATTACAGAGACGCAACAAGCACCACCACCACCACCTACTACCACCACCACCACCACAAGACTACACAGTTCTACACACACACTACAGAAACATTACTACATGTACTACATCAGACAAATAAATACGTATGTGTATCACTATCATACACATACCTACACCCTATACACCCCCTCACATGTGTAACTCATGGTCGGGATACACTTACATAGCGTCAATACTTACACATGTATACATTGACACATGATGCTTGACTGACACACGGATACGCAGTACACGATGCATTTTGACACACCTACACCCTATCTACACCTGCTTCTACACCTTCACAACACCTGGTCAAATACACACACACACACACACACACTACACACCTGTTACTCAGTCTCCCCACACTCTTACGTCCATTACTCACACATAGTCACTCCTACACCCAGATATTCACTCCCTACACCCAGTTTGGAACTCTCATATACTTCTACACCCAGAGTTACTTATTTACACCCATATTCACCCACCTTCCTCCCACCCACCCACACTCTTCCCACCTACACTCACATCATCTCTACATGCACCCACATCATACCCACATACACTTACTCATTATACCCACATACATCCACACACCCACACAAACACCCCTACACCCACATCATCACGCCCACACGCCCACTAACCTTGTCTTGAGAGCCCCAGGCCGGCGTTGAAGGTGGGAGGGTGACGGAGGTGAGCGGCACTGAGGGCGGAGTATGACCTCTGACTTTGACCATCTGCCGTAGACCTGGGCCGAGGGATGTGCTTGGAGGAGGCGTGAGAGATGTGCGAGCGAGCGTCGTCTGGTACGAAGCCTGTGTTGACCGACCCTGTGGCGAGGAGGAGCAGGGGTCATTCGGGGTCAATTTGAGGGGTTACTCGGGGTTATTAGAGGTCAGTTGGAGGGGTCACACTTTTTTTTTTTTTTTTAGAGATCAGTAGGAGAGGTCAGGAGGGGTTAGTGGGATAGGTCACACGGGGTCATACGAGGTCACAAGGGAAGGTTTATGTCTCACTAGAATGTCTCAAACACTGAATGTCTCACCTTTATCTAGATGATACATCCTAGCCCGAGGTATAGAGCGCTGGGAATACATGGACAGTGTATCCCAGTCAGCAGCCTTGTTGCTTACTCCTAGCGCGCCAGATCCTAAGGTGCCCAGAGATGCTAAGGGCGCGGAGGAAGGACTCAGGACCGCCGGGATTCCCTGTTTCTCCCTGTTCCCGCCTCGCTTCCTGTTGCAACAGATGAAGACGATGACGGCGATGATGACGGTGCCACAGATAGCTGCCGACGCCGCGATGATTATGGTGTCCATGTGCATAGTGGCGGAGGTCTCTGTCCGTATCTCCCGGCACTGTGTGTACTGCACGCTGGGGGGAGGGGAGGTGATAAGCTTCTCAGACCTAAATAGTAAATGATCAAACTATGAACAGTGTCGTAAGTCGGTGAACAATGGTATGTGAACAGTATATCTTGATTATCTGAGTCAATAAACAGTATCTGAACAGTGAATCTTGACTCGATGAACAAAGTGTCTGAACAGTGTCTCAGAATCAATGAACAAAAATGTCGAAACAGTGTCTTATAACCCAGTGAACAAATTCTGTTTAAGTCGATGAACAGTAATGATCAAACAAATTCTCTAAGACGATGAACACTAATGAACACTAATGAACAACAATTACCACTAAAAATGACTCACTTATCCGGGGTAACGTTGACATCTTCCAGGGACACGACACACACCACTATACACTCCTGGGTGGGGACGTTCTTGATCTTGAACTCCCTCTCAGACGCTGCCAGGGGAGGACCCAGCTGCCGGAAGAACTACATGTTAGCTATGAGGAACTTTCTTACTGCTATGAAGAGATAGTGTAACCCACGATAACCCCAGACGACCCACGATAACCCCAGATGACCCACGATAACCCCAGATGACCCATGATAACCCCAACACGACCCATGATAACCCCAGATGACCCATGATAACCCCAACACGACCCACGATAACCCCAGATGACCCACGATAACTCCAGACGACCCACGATAACCCCAGACGACCCACGATAACTCCAGACGACCCATGATAACCCCAGATGACCCATGATAACCCCAACACGACCCACCTTGAAGTTCTTGTCGCCGAAGAGCCTGTAGACGACTCTGAAACCGAGGATATTGGAGACCTCGGAGTCCCACTGGATGATGACCGAGCTGTCCTTCCTGTAGGCCTCCTGCACGATCACCTGTATGGACGAAGACACACCTGAGTCAGTGAGGGACAGGTGTGGTGGATGGGGTGATAAGGAGGGAGTGAGTTACAGGTGTGGGTGATTGATGTAATAGTGAGTGGAGATGTGTGGGAGAAGGGGGGGTACTGGAGGTTAGATGGGACTATGGGTGAGTGGGGGGGGGGCTACTACAGGCTAGATGGGGCTACTCTGGGTTAGATGGGACTATGGGTGAGTGGGGGAGGGGCTACTACAGGCTAGATGGGGCTACTCCAGGCAAGATGGGACTGTGGGTGAGTGGGGGGAGGGGCTACTGAGATGGGGGGGTTAGGGGACTACTACAGGCTAGATGGGGGCTACTATAGGTTAGATGGGACTATGGGTGAGTGGGGGAGGGGCTACTACAGGCTAGATGGGGCTACTATAGGTTAGATGGGACTATGGGTGAGTGGGGGAGGGGGCTACTACAGGCTAGATGGGGCTACTATAGGTTAGATGGGACTATGGGTGAGTGGGGGAGGGGGTTATTACAGGCTAGATGGGGCTACTCCAGGCAAGATGGGACTGTGGGTGAGTGGGGGGAGGGGACTACTACAGGCTAGATGGGGCTACTATAGGTTAGATGGGGCTATTACAGGTTAGGTGTGACTATGAATGAGTGGGAGGGAAGGGGTTACTACAGGCTAGATGGGGCTACTGCAGGCAAGATGGGACTATAGCTCTCATCCTGAACTCCTGTACCAACACTAGCCAAGACTCACCTCATCAACAAAAGGTCCTTGAGACTCGGAGCCGAAGAAAGACTCCTGTGAGGACTGGTCGTTAGTCCTCATCACCAGGTTAGGTCTGGAGGGCACCGGCTGGGCTATAGGACGCTCTACTCTGGTTGGCCGCTGCTGGAATCTCGTAGGAGGCACCTGAGGAGGGAGGTCAAGGGTGGGTCTGCCTTGTTCCCCACCCGGATTCTCTCCTCCGGGACCCCGCTGAACGGAGCCGACACTCCCCACGCCGCCGGAGTCACCATTGCGATTGGAGGCTCCCGGACGAATCACAGTGCCTGGCCGGAATGACGTCACCTGCCGGGGGGGGGGGGTCACGTTAGGTCTGGTGGTGTCAAGGTATAGTGAGAATAGGAGGAAAAATCGGTTAGGTTAAGTTAGGATAGGTTAGGTTAGGTTAGGTTAAGTTAGGTTAAGGTGGTTAATCTCCAGGTAAAATAAGCTGGGGTGGAGATTCTTCAGGTGACACTCAAGGAAGTAGACATGAGCATTAACTAACTCGTTAACCAAGACGGGAATATAATGTTAATTTAAAATCTGAAGAAAAACAAAAGAAATTACTCAATATCAAACAAAAGCTTCTATACAAAACACAAACAAAAGTATATCCGGTTAAGCTATTGTTTTCTGACTTTGCTTTTGTAGAGTTTAACAGATGAATGATGTGAAGTATGTAAGAACGTTAAGTATCAATGTAATGTTTCACCCAGAGGAACGATCTCAATAGAATGACACAATCATCAAGTGAACTGAACGTGTGTACTGCATGTGACGTAACTGTTAACTGTGTGAACATACCAGTGACTCAGGAATGAATACATGACTGTCAAGCACCACTTACCTCGGGTGGTTGGGTAGTAGGTCGTGTTCTGGTGACTGGGGCGGCAGGGGTAGTAATAGTAGTCGTAGTAGTCGTAGTAAAGGGAGAAGAAGTAGATGCTGGGGTCGTATTAATAGTCTTATCGGATCTGGTCGTCGCAGTGGGGGGGAATTCCGTCCTCGGGGGTACTGGAGTAGACGGAAGGGGTCGTACGATGGTCGGAGAGTTAGCCAGGGCGGAGGTCGTGTTACAGGCTAGTTCGTCAGGGTTGAGCTGGTAGAAGGATCGCTCGCGGTACTCTGGAGGCTGGCCGCAGAACTGAGGGTTGCGCTCGCGGGACGTCACCTGAAGATCATAGTCACGAATCCACTCTGAGATCCATGCTACCTGGCAGTCACAGTGTAGGAACCTCCCTCCTGTAGGTGGTAAGGATGGTTAGTTGTGTATCTATCCATCTATCCATCTATAACCCAACGCAAATCCAATCTAACCTCACCCTGAAATAAACTTTAATCCCTGACACACACGCACACACTTTAACCTCCCCCCCCCCACACTACGTACCGACAGACAGGCCCCTAAGTGAGGTGTTGAGGTGAGTGAAGGCTTGGCCAGGGACGCTAGTTAAGGGGTTACCATCCAGGGCCAGGAGGGTGAGGGACCTGACGCCCTTAAACCCATCCACAGGTATTTCCGTGATTAAGTTGAACCCGATGTCTAGTACCTGTAAAGAAAAGAACCTCTCTTTAAAAGAAACCCTCGTTAAAAGACCCTCTCGTTAAAAGAACCCCTCCTTAAAAGACCCTCTCGTTAAAAGAACCTCTCGTTTAAAGAACCCCTCGTTAAAAGAACCTCTCGTTTAAAGAACTGATAGAACTTGATGGATAATGACATTTTTTCGAACTCTTAATTAGAACTTGGTATTTCATCATTAAACTCTAATTAGAACTTAAAATGTCCTTGTTTAACTAGTACTGAACCTTATATAACTTGAAGAGAACATCATATCCAGAACCCATGAGTACTAGAACCCCTATTTAGCTTTTTTTATAAAGATGGCGAGCTGTAAAACCATTGTGGGAGAACGTAGAGGAATATTGAACCTAATCGCCAGAACCTCTGTTTATCATGGCTGGAGGTTCACTGATGGAAATGGTGATAGTGAACGATAGGTAACTCGAGGCTGAGAAACACTAATACACGATAGATGGCAATAAGCTGAGAAACACCACTACACGATAATAATAATAGTAAACTGAGAAACACTACCATAAAATAGTAATAACAAAAATTATCAGAGAAATCCTAACACTAATTAATAATTATAATAATAATTTCATTAACACCACCAAGCAAAATTATTACAACCCGAGAAACATTACGACAGAATTACTACACTAAGCTGAGAAACACCACTGCACAATAATCACTAACCTGAGAAACACCACTACACAATTTACCAAAACACACACCATATATAGACGAAGAATAGAAAGAAAATCACAAAACAGACTTGCAATAACGAAGTAAACAGGATAAAATAACCAATAATATATTTCCCTGTATAATATTACACTGTCTGGCTGGAAATTTTTATAAACTCGTGATAATTTACTTATTTTTGCCTTCGTGATCTTGTAGGCGAGTGACAACCTTCCACAAATGAATGCTTGGTGGGGGCGACAGCTGTTCCTTTGGTCTGGTCTAGATGTGTGTGTGTGTGCATTGAGGGGGAGGGGGGTGAGTGAGAGAGAGAAAGGGGGGAGGACTTAGGGTGTAACAGAAGGGAAGGTGAGAGAGGATGGAAGGATGAGAGAGACAGACAGAGATGAACATAACTGTGTCTTGGAGGTTACTGATCATCTCCCACTTCTTGTACACTACTACAGGTATCTGACCCCAGGTAGTACGCTCATCAGGTTTGGGTTGACAGATTTTTATTTTATTTTTTTTTTTGAAGGAGGTTAGACCAGATACCAGTTTTCATGACCTGACGTGTGTGTGTGTGTGTGTGTGTGTGTGTCTTGTTTACTCACTCATCTGTTGCTGAGGTAAGATGTCAAGCTCTCTCTCTCTCTCTCTCTCTCTCTCTCTCTCTCTCTCTCACACACGACCCCGCAGCACGACTCATGGTACCTGGAGACTGACAAAAGTTCCTACATACCAGTTTTTCCCTCCTCCACCTACTCCCTTATGAGACAGCTAGCTCTACCTACGCTCACTAATGCAGGTTTTTCACTCATTATTTGAGGTCCCGTTATTGGCTGTGTGTTAACGTGGTCATGGTGCAGGTGTTACAGGTGTTTATAATATGGAGGTAAATATGTGGTGTTTGGGATTTTGTGAGGGGGGGGGGCGGTGCGGTGTGGTGGGGAGGTGTTTAGTGAGAGTCTGGTCACGACCACACTAAATTGCTCCAACAATACCACCACCTACCACTACCACTACCACAACCACCACCACTTATAACCACTATCATCTCTACCGTCCCTGCTGGTGCTGTGAATAGCGGGACTACCTCATCTCCCTCACACCTGCAGCTGCTGTACTCTTGGTGGTGATGGTAGTGGTGGTAGTGGTAGGTGGTGGTGGTGGTAGGTGGTACTGGTGGTGGTATAGTGGGAGAGAGAGAGAGAGAGAGAGAGAGAGAGAGAGAGAGACCCTTTGCTTCTGATGATCCTGATATAACTCTCTAATAATAAGTGTCAATGGACCGTGACTTGAAATCAGACAGAAATTCTCCCGTATTTTTCGTATTTCATTCCACAGGTAACGCGGCGCAGATGACATGGGTTACCTGGCGTGTTATTACCCCACACAGGTAATTGCCATAAACAGTGAGGTGCTCAGGTGTTGCTCTTATTATGACCAGGTGACGCAGCTGTTGAAATTATATTGAAAAAGTGACGTTATTTCTACCACCTTGCATTAACCGCTAAACTTGAGAGAAAAATCGCTATTTATATCGTCGAGCATAAACCGCTAAACTTGGTGGTGGGGGGAGGGGGTAAATCACCAATTAATCCCTCGTTCGTAAATATTTTTGAACTCATGATTAAACTAATGCTAATTCAAACCTTCACTTATAAACCAGTAAACTTTATAAAAAAAAATTAATTCAACCTAAGAAGCAAAAATTAAAAAATAATAATAATTTGGGAGAATCTGTCAAAAAGCTAACGGGGTGGAAGCGTGTGTGTGTGTGTGTGTGTGTGTGTGTGTGTGTCTGGTAACGTTGAGAAACACTACTTGATACTGGTGCCCACGGCTACTGTTGGTGACGTCATGACTACAACAGACAGACAAACGTTTTGAATTGTTGAAAAGAAATATGAAGTATCACTCTTTTGCTGTGTGTGTGTGAGGAGGACTTTCTTACACCTGGTGAACTGACGCTACACACCTGGTACTACACCTGGTGAACTAGCGCTACACTCACACCTGGTCCTACACCTGGTGAACTGACGCTACACACCTGGTCCTACACCTGGTGAACTAGTGCTACACACACACCTGGTCCTACACCTGGTGAACTGACGCTACACACACCTGTTCCTACACCTGGTGAACTAGCGCTACACACACACCTGGTCCTACACCTGGTGAACTGGCCGCCACACACCTGGTCCTACACCTGGTGACTAGCGCACACACACCTGGTCCCTACACCTGGTGAACTAGCGCTACACACACCTGGTCACCTGGTGAACTAGCGCCACACACACCTGGTCCTACACCTGGTGAACTAGCGCTCACACACACCTGGTCCTACACCTGGTGAACCTAGCGCACACACACACCTGGTCCACACCTGGTGAACTGGCGCTACACACCTGGTCCCACACCTGGTGAACTAGCGCTACACACCTGGTCCCACACCTGGTGAACTAGCGCTACACACACACCTGGTCCTACACCTGGTGAACTAGCACCACACACACCTGGTCCTACCTGGTGAACCAGCGCTACACATCCTGGTCCTCACACCTGGGAACTAGCGCTACACACACACCTGGTCCCTACACCTGGTGATCTAACTACACACACACCTGGTCCTACACCTGGTGATCTAATGCCTACACACACACCTGGTCCTACACCTGGTGAACTAGAGCCACACACACACACCTGGTCCCACACCTGGTGAACTAGCGCTACACACACACCTGGTCCTACACCCGGTGAACTAGCACACACACACCTGGTCCTACACCTGGTGAACTAGCACCACACATCCTGGTCCCACACCTGGTGACTAGCGCCACACACACCTGGTCCCACACCTGGTGAACTAGCGCCACACATCCTGGTCCCACACCTGGTGAACTAGCGCCACACACACACCTGGTCCTACACCTGGTGATCTAACACCACCACACCTGGTCCCACACCTGGAGATCTAACGCCACACACACACCTGGTCACCTGGTGATCTAGCCTACACACACACCTGGTCCTACACATTCCTCCAATATCTCTCGTCATAATCCCCACTCCCACCATCCATCACCACCATCATCTTACCTAACAGCCTCACCATCAGCCATCACCACACTAAACTGACCATTACGTTCCTCATCTTCGCCGTCTCCATCCTCCAGTAGCTACGTCTGTCGCCTTCTTATACCACTTCATCATCGTCAGCGGCATCACCGTCGGGAGGGAGAGAGAGAGAGAGAGCCGCTAAGCAAGATCCTTTACCGCAGACCGTAATAACATACAGTACGTGCCGCAGGATTGGGTTATGCCCATTGAGTTGAGCGCATCGGTGTCCAGGTAATTGTACTTTTTGGGGCGAGTCTCCGTCCTCAGTGACAGGAGGGAGGGAGGAGGGACGAGTGAATTTTTATTATTGCATGTAAACTGTCGCTCTGGGGTATATAGTTTTTATTTTACTTACCAAATGTTGCTCAAATATCAAAGTTTATGAGGGAATGTTTCTTATTTTTGTAGATTGTGGTTGTAAAGTGTTAATGATCATAGAACAGACGAAGCAAATGAAAATACAAGAGGTGGTGGAACGTGGACAGCAGGGAGGAGAAACCAACTCGCTGTCTCTGACCGGAAACATCGGCAAGAGAACTTAACAGTACAGTACGTTGATACATTACGTCTTATTATCTGCCTGGAGGCGAAACATCCCAGTCATCAGAGAATACCGGTATGGATGAGACAGACACACAGACAGACACAAACACAGATAACACAAACAGCGACGCGAAAAAAATAGACATTAAAATTAAAAGATCTTCACAAGAGCGGGGTTACGCTGAGCCTGCTGTAAGTTGGCCAAGTACCAGCACCACTCACACCTGTTATGTAAATAAGACCTACACAAACAAGGAGGGGCGTGCGCAGCGTGTATGATACACAACGAAGAAGGTCGTTGGTGGAACGCCGCCCGGAGCACGGAGGCCCCCATCAGGAGCTGCACGCAGTGTCTTGTGGGCGCCCAGCACCACCTGTAGGAAGAGACCAGCAGCACCATTTCATAATTCAGTGTTGTTTTAAACCTTGTTAGATGTCACCTCGAGGATGTCACCCTGAGTGGAAGTCACACAGAAGAGCGGAGGTTGTCATCATGACTTACACAACTGGCTCTACAGACGTCCTCATTATGTGTGTGTGTGTGTGTGTGAACTTTGTCACAATTTGCAACGAAAAAATCAAATCTGCATCCTTCTAGTGACAGGAGTGCATGAGCAGGAGTGACGCGTCAATCTG